TTTTTTTTTTTTTCTGAAGCAACAATGTTGACTGTTAGTATCTTGCGAGAAAAGAATGTACATCGTCAAAAATTTGCAATAAGATAAAAAAAAAAAAAAAAGAGCAATCCTTTCTCTACCTCTTTCGATAAACCAAACACCAGACCGCGTTTACACATCAAAGATAAATATAAACTGTATTTGATAATGTGCAAAAAAGTTTTTTTTCAACCCATTATACGCACAACAGCTTTTTTTTTTCTCAGTTTTATATCGTTAAAACGGAACTCCTGCTGTTGACGAATTGTGCACACCAGAAATATCCAATTTCAAAAATTTAAAAGGCTGGTTTTTTTTCCTTATCATTTTTTTACAGAAATATGCGGTAAAAGATTTCATAACTTCAAAAGAAAATGCTTCAAAATGTAGTCAATTAGTAACAACAAAAAAAAAAGTCATTAATATTTCACTACTTTCATGATTTTTCTATGTCAAACTGAACAGGTATAGTTGTCAGAAGCAGAGGAGTGTCGATCAAAAGAAGAAAAAAAAACTGTAAGATCATTGTTGCCGAAAATCATCAAATTTGTCGTTAGTGTTCAACAACAGTATGACTATTGTTTTTCAAATGCAAATATCTGTTATTTGTTCAATTTACTAACGACAAAAAGTTTTTTTCTCGATAAGTGTCACAAAAAAAAACAGACGTTAATAGGTGAGAAAAAAAAAAAACTGAATTTTGCTTTTATTTTTACACAACAAATATTTAAGCTAAAAAGCAAAATGCAAAAGAAAATAACAACAGCAACAACAACAAAAACCACAAAACAAGTAGCAGTTTTATATGATTTCAAATTGATAATGTGCCATTAACAACTGACGTTAACAATTTTATCAGAAAAAGAAAAAAAAGCAAAAAGTCGGAATAAAATTTTACACCCAAAAATTGTTGTCAATATTTTCTATTGCATTTTTTAACAGAAATATTACTTAAAAACTTTTATTTGATAAAAAAAAAATAATGTACTGAATTTTTTTCCCATTTCCTATTGATTCCGATACCGGTATTCATGCAATCCATTAAAACCGTGTTGCGCGCTAGATTCAAAGCAACAACGGCAGCACTCAAAATCATACATGGCATCTGAGTGCCAATCAACAGCACTCATAACAGCCCCAGTAACCTCATTTGAATTAGATGTGATTTTTATAGCACTCCTACTGTTGCTGCCAGTTGACCCGCATCCCACCTATCAATTTAAAAAAAAAGAACAAAAGAAGAAAAAAAAGAAGAATTGAGAAATGAATCAAGATTAAAAAAAATCTATCTGAAATCATAGCTGTTATAATTAGAAAAAAATTACAGACACAAAAAAGAAAGGTTGCAAATGTCAGGTATGACGAGCACATCATTTTCATCGCTGCAGATGACATCACCAGCAACCAGTAACTTATCACTCAGTCTATAGTTATCGCTACAGTAATAGTACCGCTTTCCAACAGTTTAAAGACTGTGAACAAAAATAGCACCATTAAAATCCTGTTGCTTTCTAAGCAAACGTAAAAGAGAACTTCAAGTAGAGGGTGAAATAAGTAATTAGTTAAGCAAAGTGTAAAAACTGCAGGAAACACCAATATGTCGTTGAAGGTAAAATTGTGAACAAGAAAACAAGACAGTTCAGTTTTGAAGACGTCGATGACGAGGACGACAGCGAACGATTACAATCGGCAACCGTGATGCTGATGGCCCTATGTCGGTGCGCCCAATCAGGCAAATGCAACTTTGCTGAATAGGTACCTCTCCCATGTTGACGATGTCGTCACTGCTGCCGCCATCGTCATCGTTGTCGTCTTCGCTACCGTTATCGGTGTTGTCATCATCGCACTTACCATTAATATTTGTTGTCGTTGCTGGTTTCAAGAAGACTCCAACCACCCAGCTGGCAAATGTGGTCTATATTTTATTTGCTGACCAACGGTGACTCATTGTTGTTTATTATCGATTTGAGAACTCAACAGCACTTTTTCATACACTAACGCTTTGTGACTTCTTTCAACTTTTCATTATAACTTTCACTGGTCTGAACAAATAGTTTTTCTAAAAATAACAAAAAACCTGCTTTTTCTTCCTTTCTTCTTCTTCTTTTTTTTTCTTCTTCCCCTTCCTTCTTTCATTATTACTTTCCCTGTACTTCTAAGGTTTACAAACAGTTTATTTACCAGAAATTTTTTAAAGAGGGAGCAAAAACAGAAATACAGAATGATTTCAGTCATATCTATTTTCATACGTCATATTTGTATACAGATCACCAACTAACAACTGAGCATCTGAAAACCATTATCATAGCTTTTAGAAAAAAAAAAATTATATTTTTTATTCATGAATTTTGCAGACGTCAACAACAAATTCAGTGTTCAAAGAACTTCTGTGATGACAGTGTTAACGTCAACTGTGATTCGTTGAGGGGAAATGCCGCACGAGAATGACGTGTTTTTTTTCGTTGTTTGGCAAAACAGAATGCTATTAGTTGGCAATGTAATGGTCTATCTGCTAATTTTAACGGTTGTACTTGATATATAAATAGTGAAGAAGTGCAAACCTAACAACGAACATCAAATCAATGATATTTACTAAATTATTTTTTTTTCCATCACAAGTACACATATAATAACAAACAAAACAATCAAACAAACGGATGAACAAATGAAAGGTGCTGAGCAACAATAACTAAAACGAACTAGGGAGAATACTGGGAAAAAACTTTCACTTTTGAAATACACTTGCACATTAATCTGGTGATTAGTATGTATATACACATGTCAACAATACAGTGATCGCTGGCAAATGAAACTTCTGCAAAAGAAAAAAAAATCTGTGATTCATAGGTCCCAATTTGAAATGGAAAAAGAATTTTTTTTTTTTTGGCCATCTCATTAGGTT